GAAGTCAACTCTCATGAAGAGATGGTGGAAAGTGAAGACAGTTTCAAATTTTCTTAGGATGTTTTCTGCCATGGCCCATAGACTTTGGTCAAGAAATAAGGTAGTCGGATTTTATGGACCTGGTAACGTTTTCTTCCAACCTGTCCAACAAACCATTTTTTTTCATACATAAATCATCACAGGGAAAAGAATATGACTTGAAAAAGACAGGAAAAAAAAGAGCAACCTACTGGTAGCAGTTCTTTTTTTGTCTCAACAATGTTGTTTGCAGACTTCAAGGAGGTGTTGAAGACGCTTCCTGAGATTTTGCAGAGTGCATCTTTCATTGCCATTGATGGGGAGTTTACCGGCTTGCATCATGATGTCAAACCCTTGCCATATGACACACCAGAGGAGAGATACGACAAGCTCAGACAGGTGTACCATCACAAATAATCATCTCTGCATTTCCAATTTGTTAAACAAAAGCAAAACAGTAGTTCCCCTTCCCATCCAAATTGAAGTGAAATGTACAGCAGGTAGATGCTACTGAGAGTTCTGAGGTTAGCTCATTGTAATGAAGTCCATCTCAAGTAGTCCATAACCTTGTCTCAAGTCACAAGCTATTTAAATGACCTTTGGCAAAAGTATTTTGTCATTGTTCTCCTGCTAAAGGACTAGTCATTGGACTTTAGGGTGGACTTGTTATTGGACTTAGCTGCCAAAGCTCTGGAACTTGTACAAATCAAGAAACATTGTGTAATCAACATGACATTGGCAAGGAATTCTACTTTTCCTTCAGAAGTGATGATTGTTAATTTCTTTCGCATTTTGCTTCAGGGTTCTATGGATTTTTTGTTGATGCAGTTTGGAGTGTGTGCCTTTAAGTTTGAGAAAGAAAACTCAAGGTAAGCACCTGTCAAATATCAGTTGGTTGAGGATTAGAGTTCCAAGAAACCTAGATCTTCATACCTTCAGTATGTTAGATTTTGGTTGCTTTTGATGGATTCAGGCTTTGATCCTAGTCCTTAAGAGAAATCCTAAAAGATTGACCAATCATGCAGCTCGATCACTAGTACCCATCAGAAGCAGTTGATCACCATTGTTGCTGTGTGCCTAGCACTAACGTACATGAAGACTGTGCGTTGCGAGAGCACATTTTGTTCAAAGCTGGTTGTGCACATTCTGATGCAAACTGGATGAGGTTACATGTATTTGTATCCTGAATACACTCTGTGTTGCACAGTATGGCATGCTAGACTGATTATCAAACCCCGCCCACTGCTCTCATGAACAATAATTAACACATCCTTCTCCCTGATGCCAAAGTGGATGTAGCCTCATGTGTCATACTCACGTGTTCAGGCATGTCATACATATTGTTTATTATTAGACATGGATGATGGATCAATACTAAAGGGTGGAGTACAGTGGATTAGTCGTTTGTGTCTACTGTCTACAATACCGCTCTTCCTGCTTCGCACTGCTCGTCTACTGTTACATATCCCCTAAGATCCTGTCCTAATTTTATAGTGTAAATTATCATACCTCATATTCATAATCAAGACACAAGCTTGCCTTAGGAATAGTTTGTCAGCTTCTAATGCCTTGGGGAATTAAAATTGACCATTCAACCTGACACCATGTTGTATTTGTATAACATGTGCTAGGTCTTGTTTTGCTTCAGCATTGAGGATTTTGGAAAATTTCTTCAAAATTATTTAGACCAGTTAGACACTTGGGGTAAACTTTATAAAATGCCTAAAGCACACTATGTTTACTGGCCCTAAATGAGACTTTGTAACCTTAAAAATAAAAACTATATTTGACTGTGTTCATTTGACTGCGTTCGTTTGACTGCGTTCATTTGACTGTGTTCATTTGACTGTGTTCATTTGACTGTGTTCATTTGACTGAGGTCATTTGACTACGTTCATTTGACTGTGTTCATTTGACTCTGGTCATTTGACTGTGGTTATTTGTTTTCAGGTATCTTGTGTATCCATTTAACTTCTATGTTTTCCCGAGGCCAATGATCAACTCCAGAAAACCAGACCGTAGATTCCTTTGTCAGGTATTTATGCAACATTCACTCATTTCTTTGAACAGCCATCAAGTTTGGAAGTTGGATAAGAATATAATAGAATGAATCCCTTACTTCAAATTGAATATGAGTAAAATATTAGTTCATTCCAGACAGTGAACAAGCAAGTCTAAAAATGGTCAACTTCCAACGTAAGTTGAACTATCTGTAAGAACTAGAGTCAGTAGAGGTTTGACAGTAGCCAACAGCATGTCTCTCTGCACACTGGTATGTTTCCTGCTAAAAATTGCAGTGTTTAAGATCACATATTTTGGGCTTTAGAGAAATGTTTTAGTACTTCTTAGTGAGTAACCCCCACACACACTGATGCTCCCATAAAACGTAGCCCAATTTGTGAGGGCGCCATTTCATATTCAATCTCAAGTGGTCTGTGTTTGAGCAAATTGTGATTTTTGTGCCTTGTGTATGCAGGATTTTAGTTGCTTTTAATTGGGTTGTTGACTTTAATTGGGTTGTAGACTTTGAGGGAATATATTCTGTGACTGCAGCAACATTCAGATCTCATTTTGATTTGAAATAATTTTGAGCCTACCCATACTTTCCTTCTGTTTTGAATTTCCAGAGTTCAAGTATGGACTTCTTGGCTTCGTTCAATTTTGACTTCAACAAAGTCTTCAGAGATGGTAAGTGCTGGTCATAAAATTCAAACTGGTGGGTAGATTTTCAACATATTTTGTTTTCCTGCCTAATTGATTGTGTGGGTTTACTTTAGAATTAGTTTCTTGGGTAAGGGATTATTCCTGTGCCATGAAAATGGAGACACTGAATAAAAATGCAACAAAGGTTCAACCCCTCAGAAGGCTGGTTCGTACTTTAGGCAAATGCCAAAGTGAAATGAATTTGACATCACATTTGTGACCTGTCACAATATAATGAGCGTAAAGTCGCATTCTGCTATTTCATGTTTTGACAGTTCAAAGTCAAATATTGAGGAGGAGGTTAATTTTGGATTTTTGTGATATTTGGAAAGAGTTACCTGTCTCCTAGTTAATTCCAAATATCACGGGATTATATATTTAAAAATGTAATTTTTTCAGCAATTTTGATGGCAACATTATGTCGGAAACAAAGACGCAAAGCTGCCCGAATAATGTCACCTTGTCACCTTAAACTTTTTCCCTTAGTGTTCCATGTGCTTACCACCTGAAAGCTCTTTCTCTACTGAATTCAAAAATATCAATATCTCAATTTTTTGAAAATTTTGACTTTCAGCTCATTTTGTGGTGACAGGTCAGATTTGTAAAATATTCGCTTGGGTTGAAGTGTGTTGAAGTGAATTTGCTGTAGGATTATTTGATCTGAAATCACAATTGCACAGTTACGTCTGCCAAGTATGTACCAGCCACTACTTTCAATCTGGCTTGACATTTGACTTGATTTGATCGACTTGATTACTGCTTTCAATATTAACCACCATTAACAAAGTTACGTTTCCTTTATAGGGATACCGTACTTGACAAAGTTACAGAAGGAATCTATTAAGGAGCACGTCAAAGAGAAGCATGCTCTCCATCAGCAAGAATCATCAGCATCACAATCCAGCCCTGGCTTCATCTCACCACCTGCTAAGATACAAGTCGACATACCCCCAGAACAGAAAGAGTTTGTTGAAGGCGTTTGGTAAGATGCTTTTAGCTAAGTACATGAACGACAGAGGGCACTGTTTGTCATACCTGTCGATAGCTAAATAAATAATGTTGCTCGTGAGTTTGAAAAAACCCAGTACATTCCTGTCTTCTTTCCTGGCCATTTCTTACAGCCTTCATAAAACCGCAAGTGGAAACTGATTAAATACAAAAGGTCAATGTTGAGAGCAGATGAAAAATATTGACACATGCAGGATTTGAACCAATGACTCACAGAATGTCAAATCAGTGTTGTACCAACAGGGATATCGTGCTGTATATTTGGGAACTTCCACTCTCCTTTAATAGCAATGTTGCAATCGTGCTGTATGTTTGGGAACTTCCACTCTCCAATAATAGCAACGTTGCAATCGTGCTGTATATTTGGGAACTTCCACTTTCCAATAATAGCAACGTTACAATCGTGCTGTATGTTTGGGAACTTCCACTCTCCTTTAATAGCAACGTTGCAATCGTGCTGTATATTTGGGAACTTCCACTTTCCAATAATAGCAACGTTGCAGGAACTCAAATCTTCATCATCTACAAGATCCTACCTTTGCTTTACAAAGCCAGAGCTGTCCAGTTTCATTTTTTAGATCTCCCAATGTCATCATCAAAGGTTGCTGCTAGCTATAAGGGGTTGGATATCTGGAAATACATGTATCCAAATATCTTCAGGTTTCCAGTCTCCAAGCTGGTTCAAACTCAATCTGAAACATTTTGATTGTCTTCTACAGTAAGCAAGTTGATGACTTTGTGAAGAATGAACATGAACACGTGCTAAACCTGGCACCCTGCAATGGGTAGGGAATTAATTCAAATATTCAAAATATTCAAATATGAATAATTCAACAGTAAGTGGTACTCTGTAGCTTGAACTCTCATTATTAATGCCCTTTAATTTCAAACTGACTTGTCCTATATTTTGCAAGGTTGAAAGGTTGATAAATTCAGTACAGTAAAGTATGTTTTCAGGTCATTTGGAAAGCTTTTAATTTCCCAAAATCAGTCTCAAATGCACAAAGGTTTGGAAAATAGGCAGAAATTGGATGGTTCCCACTGAAACATAAATAACTGTATAACAGAGTCCCACTTAACTCTAACAGTCCTCAATCCTTCACCTGTTGGAGGACTGAGGATTGTTAGGGTTAATGTTAGTTTTTATCACCAGAATGCATCATTCATCTCTAGATCCATGATTGTTTATTTCTTTGCAGATTCCAGAGAAAGTTGACATTCCAGTCAGTAAAAGCAAGGTGAGACCGACTCGAAAGACATCATTTGCAGTTAGAGTACAGTTGGCATAAAGTTGCATATTATGATATACCTCATAAGGAGACCATTCGTTCTTTGCACGCTGCTGCCAAAGTGTAGGGACCCTCAGACCAGCAATATCACACTTAACTAAGCAACATACACGTATACAGGAATCACTGAACCTGTGATATTTGTTATGTAAATCAGCCAGATCAAGGATCTCGTTACCTATGGTGGGAGCATGTAAAGAGCCAATAGCGTCTTGTTCATCTGTTAGTGAACATTTCTGAAAAGTTTAGGTTGTATTTGCGCCAAAAATTTTTAAAGTCTAAAACTAATACATCTGAATCTAAATAAAAAGTGCACTTTTCCAAACCTTACATGATCCATTTTTCTACTCACAGACTAATTTTGGTATTTATTTCTTGTTAAAGAGGAATCTGCTGACACTAAGATTGACAGCGATAATTATCTTGTCATTTATTTATTTCATTTGAATGGCCTTAAAAGATATGCTATAATCATACTTGTCTTATCCTATCAGTAACTTATCCAAATTCTTTGTTCCAGACATGAATCTGGGCTGATGTTGGCTTCAAAAACTGGTGAAAAGGTAAGTCTGGCAAATTACATTTCAAAGCCCAACAGACTTTCAGCAAATCTGAAAGTTTGTCAGTATTGCTTAGTAACATGATTTAAATCGACAACAACCAAAAAAATCCAATTTTGCTATAAGGAAAGTGCAGCTGTCAACTGAGGCAATATGTCATTTTCTTAGCATTCTCATTAAGAACCATTCTGAATCCTTCCATATCCTCTCTTGTACATGGAAGCAATGATACATTCTTTGCGCACTAATCTTCAAGGAGCACTAAGCTCCATCATTCACAACCCTCTAAAGTGTCTCATGGATTTGGATGGATCTGTTAGGGTAGGGTTCAAGTTGTCATCGTTCTTACACACTGAAGTACAAGTGATGTGAGTGTACACTTAGTTAAAACTGCATCAGAATTTGGGTTTCCACAACTAACACCTGGATGTGCATATGCACTGCAGTCACTGATAATGTGGAAAATAATTTGGGTTTTCAGGAACTGACATGTACGCATGTAGCGAATATACCATTGAGAGAAAAGTGAAAGGACTTTACACAAATTTACTCCATTGATTTACTTGTAGGATTAAGAGAAAAAAAACCTTGAGAAATTCAGAATAATTTGACTTTTTAATAAGAAAATTCACTGAATGTATGCTTGTTCTGTAAAATTTGTGCAAAGGAGAGCACTCGGGTACCACCAAGTGATACTTTGAATATTTCAGTTTATAATTGCATATCATAGGGTGAGCGTTACATAGAGGTTACCAAGGCAACAGAGGAAGAGAAAAAGTTGATGATGGAGAAGAAGTTGCAGGCAGACTTGGTGAGTTGGGTTCCACATGATGAATTACAATCACCAAAATGTTCAATCCAGTGATCACATGCAAACTACACTGTCTTTTGTTATCTAAGACAAACAGTGTGGTTGGATGGCTTTTGAGGAATTCGGGGGGAAAAGCCCTAGAGACTAACAACCAAATCTGCATGAAGCCGAGATTTCAAGATTTTAAAGAAGTTGGCCAAGGTAGCACCTTGAAATATGGAATGGCTCATGAGGGATAAACCATGCCTCAATTTTGAGTTGTCCATGAGAACCTGGTGTCCACCTTGTGGAACATTTGCTTTATAGACGTGCAGAGTAACCATGGCAACTTGGAAACAGGTAATTCTGGGTAAAGAATACACCCGGGAACACTTTGTTTCTGTGAAGAAAGAAGCACTTGGCTTTTGGAATGCTCCCTGAAGCAATGTTTGCTCTCAGTCACGTATTATCTCAGTGAAGTAACCATCCAACACTTTCACCTTTGACCCTTGACTGCAGGATGAGGTAGACGATGCAGCAGGGTTCTCACAGGTCATTGACCTCATCTCTAGCACAGGAAAACCTGTCATAGGTCACAACATGATGCTGGATGTTATGCATGCAATACAGCACTTCAGCTTTTCCTTGCCAGAGGTAGGAAAAATGCACCAAGTTGTTGGTTTGTTTCTCTGATTCAGAGATCATGAAGTTGGTAATGATACCAGCTGAAAACATAAGCTCACACGTTTTAATAGAGTGAGCTAGGTTCCTATTTGCAGTGATCATAAAACGTAAAACAAGCTGTCTTAGCTCAGTTTGATCAGTTTGCAATTTAAGGAGAATTGACTTAACTGGGATTTGAATCAGAGACTTTTAGAATGCTAGACCAGTGTTCTAGCCACAGAGCAATCAATCTCTATTGTCATTGCTTCAGGAGCCTAGCTGTAATGAGCCAGTGTGGTGTCATAACCGCACCTGTTCAATATGAAGCACATTGTAGGTCATATGAGCACATGAATACATGCGTGAGGTTGGTCCTGTCAACGTGGCT